ATCCTGTATGTGTTGCATTAGGCAATTTAAACATGAACTAGGACACGCATGTTTGCTAACTAGTTTCTTATTTTGGCACGGAGTACTATGTAAGTATTTATGCTTTATCATACCGCATGCGTGCGAGTGTTGCCATGACAGTATGCCTGCCATGTGGCTAAGTGCTTATGTGTTATAAATTGTTTGAATGCCTGTGGGTGAAGGTTGGATTGTTTGAGTTGGAATAACTCGTTGAGATCCGTATTTTAGCCTACTTGCGAGTAGCAAATTCCAAAGTGTTTTCTAAAACAAACGGATATGCAATGCTTATTTCCAAATTAGGCAATCTAGTCTATACTTGTTTGCTGCGCGCATAACATAGTAATAATTCTAGGCTAATAAATGGAATAAAAACACATAACGTTTTCAAAATCGGATATCATGGTTAGTAGAGGCCGGTCTTCGGACCGGGCGAAAGGGGGTGCTCATAGCTGACCTTCCCCGATCGTACCCAAGCTCCCGAGCCGAGACAACTCCGATGATGACGGACATGTGGCCTTCGGCACCGAGTCAGGGTTTCCTAAATTCTCCATTTTTTAAAAAATATTTAGGTGGCGACTCTGTATCTGGCAAAGCAGTCCATGTTTGGCACTACTTTTCAAAAATCTGTTTCTCAAAACGATTTGCCGGATTTGGACTCTTTGGTTGAAGATTAAGAACCGTGACACAAATCGAGTCCGAACTGTAGCGAGGGCCCCACGCGGGCGCGTCTACAGCCCCCTTCTTGCGGATGCCCTACACATAGCATATAAATTGTAAGCACATCATCTTTTCTTAGTTTCCTTTCATTTTTCATTATTCGATTCGCTGTGTTTTACGTAATTAAATGCATTCTAGGAACATCAAACGGATATAATAACACGTTCAGAGGGTCGAGAAGGACGTAAGAAAATTATAGAATTTCTAACTTGGGCCACACGCGCGGGAGTCCTTGCCGTACGTGTGGGCCTCATGTGCCTTTTTAGCAGAATGCTCCCAACTTCTTCCCCTGTTTTCCGCACGTGCGACTGTGAGCCCCACACGTGCGGTTGTGTCTCCCACACATGCGGCCATTGCCCCCGCACGTGCGGTCGGTTACTCTGTTTTGGCAGTCCCAATCTTGAACAAAATTGCAATTGTTCAAACCCATTAAAAGGTATAAGACAGGGTAAATTTACTCAATATCATGGCAGATTATCACAATGAACATAAATCATAAGCATAATCAAATCATACCGCTCTTAAATTCATATATACATCTTAAATTGTTTATATCCCAACCACACTTAGTTTATCACAATATAGGTCTATAACATCAAGATGTTTGAATGAGCTCAAAATGTGTAGAACCAAAGAAACATAGCTCAAAACAACCCTAAATCCAAGGATCACCCACAAAAGTAACCAAATTCCCTAAGTAAGGGTCTTGATATAACCCTAATTTACATGAATGTTAAGATTTACTTCCCAAATCGAATAGAGAGAGAGATTAGGATGCTCTAGCTAGATTGTACATACCTTAAACTCTAGCCTCAAACCCTATTTTAATTCTTCCAATCTTCTCCCCTTGATGAGCTTCTCTTTTATCCTCTTCTTTTTCTCTTTCTCGGGTGTTCTCTAGAATTCTCCACTCAAAATATATAAGGGATAAGTTAATAAAGAGACTTATATAATGCAAGAATAAGTCTTTAACTTCTAGACTTGCCAAACGAGCCTTAATGAATCAGACAAAATAAATTTTCAATTAAACCTCCCAAGCAGCTTTAAAAATTCCCACTAGCACGTTCACATGCTCAATTTTAGTTTATTGCACCTCTACGGTTTAAAATTTCCAAGTTAATATTTTAATTTTAACAAATGTATTCCAATAATCAACAGATAGATAAACATAATCCAATAATTCCCACATGTAAGCATAACTTTGCATAAAATTTCACCTTAAACATGTAATTTCTCATAGAACTAGGGATGTAAAGCATATAAGAGGGTCGGGTTATTACACTTTCACCCCCTTAAATTAGTTTGGTCCCCAAACTTGGTTTACCTTAGGTTGTAAATAACTCTGGTTAGCGTTGCCTCATTTCCTCCTCTCGCTCCCAATTAGCTCCTTTTCCATAATGCTCCTGCCATTCCACTTTCACCATAGGAATCACTTTACTTCGTAATCATTTCATTTGGCCATCCAAAATTTGAATTGGTTTCACCTCATAGATCAACTTATCATCTAAGGTAATTTGCTGATAGTCTATGACATGAGATGGATCTTGCAAATAACTTCGTAACATTCAGACATGGAATACATTATGCACTTGCTCCATATTCAGCGGAAGAGTAACACGATAGGCTACCGGCCCTACTCTTTCCAGGATTTGAAACGGACCTACATATCGGGGTGCTAACATACCCTTTTTACCAAATCTTGTGTGTCCTTTCGTTGGAGTAACTTTTACAAAAACATAATTACCCACTTTAAACTCCAAGTCCCTTCGCCGATGATCTGCATAGCTCTTTTGTCTACTCTGCGCAGTGTTCAACCTTTCTTGAATAATCTTAATTTTCTCTATTGTCAGCTGCACAATCTCTGGCCCAATCAACGATTTGTCACCGACTTCGGTCCAGCACACGGGAGAGCGGCATTTCCTTCCATATAGAGCTTCATAGGGTGCGATTTCTATACTTGAATGGTAACTGTTGTTTTATGCGAATTCTGCCAATGGTAGATGAGTTTCCCAGCTTCCTTTAAAGTCCAAAGGACACATTCGAAGCATATCTTCCAGTGTTTGTAAGGTTCTTTCAGATTGACCGTCGGTTTGAGGGTGGAAGGCTGTACTAAACTTCAATTTTGTTCCTAAGGCATCTTGCAAACTTCGCCGAAATCTCGATATGAACTTTGGATCCCTATCAGATACGAGTGAAACTGGATTACCATGTAGTCGTACAATTTCATCTATATATATAGCAGCTAGTTTGTCCACGTTGTATTGAGTCTTTACAGGTAGAAAATGAGCTAATTTAGTTAGTCTATCCATAATGACCCATATGGAGTTCGCGGTAAACCTACAATAAAATCCATAGTTAAATGTTCCCATTTCCATTCTAGAATCGGAAGGGGTTGAAGTAGACCCAGCGCCTTTGGTGCTCCACTTTCACTTGTTGACACTGCAAACACTTTGAGACATAGTCTGCAATTTCCCTCTTCATACCCGACCACCAAAAATTCTGCTTTAAGTCGTGGTACATATTTGTGCTACCAGGGTGCATTGCAAATTTGGAGCTATGTGCTTCCTTTATAATTCTTTTCTTAATTTTTGGCACGTTGGGAACACACGACCCACCTTGAAATTTCAATACCGAATCTTCAATTATGAACCCGGGCCTTGGTTTTGTTTCAAGTTCATTACAAATTCTCTGTAAAAATTCATCTTCCAGTTACTGTTGTCTGATTTCCTCCAGAAGTACTGGTTGAGCTGACATCATTGCCAGTAGCGTATCTTGGCTATGAAACATAATTTTCATATTCATTATTTCCAAATCATACAATAGCTCTTTCTGCCTCGTGAGTAAACTTGCTAAATTCCCTTTACCTTTTTGGCTAAAGGCATCTGCAACCATGTTAGCTTTACTGGGGTGATAATGGATTTGTAGATCATAGTCCTTAATGAGCTCCAACCACTGTCTTTGTCGCATGTTCAACTCTTTCTGGGTGAAGAAGTACTTAAGACTCGTATGATCAGTATAAACCTCACATCTAGCTCCATACAGATAGTGACGCCATATTTTTAAGGCAAAGACCACCGCAGCTAGCTCAAGGTCGTGTGTGAGGTAGTTCTTTTCATGGGGTTTAAGTTGGCGAGAGGCATAGGCAATAACTCTCCCATTTTGCATAAGTACATAGCCCAAACCTTTATGCGAGGCGTCACTATAAATCTCAAATCCCTCGTTACCAGACGGTAATGTTAGAACGGGTGCTGTAGTTAACCTTGTCTTCAATTCTTGAAAGGCAAACTCCCGTTGCTCCTACCATTCAAACATAACACCTTTCTGGGTTAACTGAGTAAGCGTCACCACAATTTTAGAAAAATCCTTAACAAATCGTCGGTAGTATCTGGCCAATCCCAAGAAACTACGCACTTCTGACACATTAGTAGGCGTTGACCAATTCACAATAGCCTCAATCTTATGCGGATCAACATCAACACCCTCTTTTGTTACCACATGACCCAAAAATCCTACTTTATGTAACCAAAATTCACATTTCTTTAATTTTGCATATAATTTCTTGTCTCGAAGAGTCTGAAGAATTAACCGTAGATGATTCTCATGAGCTTCCATACTGGTTGAGTAGATCAGGATATCATCAATAAACACAACCACAAAATCATCCAAGTAGGGCTTAAAAACTCGGTTCATTAGATCCATGAAGGCCGCTGGCGCGTTAGTGACCCCAAATGGCATAACAAAAAATTCATAATGTCTGTAACGGGTCCGAAAGGCAATTTTCTCGATATCTTCAACTTTAACTTTTAGTTGATGGTATCCAGACCGTAAATCTATCTTAGAAAAGACTTGTGCACCTTGTAGTTGATCAACCAAATCATCGATCCTGGGTAACGGATATTTATTCTTTATAGTTACTTTATTAAGCTCTCTATAATCCATGCACAGCCGAAGGGTTCCGTTTTTCTGTTTCACAAAAAGGACTGGTGCGTCCCAAGGAGAAGTGCTCAGACGAATGAATCCTTTGTCAAGGAGGTCTTGTAGTTGGACCTTCAACTCTCTTTCATTTCAACGGGAGACATTCTATAAGGGGTTTTAGAAATGGGTTAAGTTCCTGGCTCAATATCAATTGTAAACTCGATCTCACGATCAATTTGCTCTCCCGGTAACTCTTCTGGGAACACATCTGGAAAATCCCGCACAACTGGAATTGCATCAATGCCACCATCCATTGGTTATTCATTCAAAATACTACACAAATACCCCTAACAATCCTTTTGTAGTAGTTTACATGCCTTTATTGCTGAAATCAGATTGGGTGGGGAAACTACTCTCTGACCCTTAACAATAAACTCAGATTGTCCTAGGAGTTGGAAGGTAACTTGTTTTGACACACAATTTATAGTCGCATGATACTTGTTTAACCAATCCATCCCCAAAATTATGTCAAAATAAGCTACATCAAGAGGCAATAAGTTGGCATCTACCCAAACATCCCCGATTAGGATTTCACATGCATGGTAAATGAATGCACAGATCATGGACTCCCATGACGGCGAAGACACACACAAAACACAAGGTAGTGGTTCCATTGGACTATTTAAATGACTAGCAAATGCTTTGGATACAAAAGAATGGGTAGAGCTCGAATCAAATAACACATGTGCAGAATGACCATTAACAAAAAATGTACCTGATACCACAGCCTCGGTATTTTGCACATCGCTTGGAATTAGTGCAAACACCTTTCCTTGTTTGGCAGGATCTTTAGCGTTGGTGGGTTTTGTAGCTGCCTTTGTAATTGGGGTAGGGGTAGATCCAGCCAAACTTGTGGTAGTTCTATTCCCATTCTGTCGATTCTTTTGCGGACACTCTCTGGCCAAATGACCTGTCTTTCCACACTTGAAGGATGCCCCTGTTACTCGGTAACAAATCCCACGGTGTCTTTTTCCACAATCCGGACAAATTGGTGCAGAGTCACAGGTAGAGGTGGATGTACTAGAAGTTCCCGAATTCAACTTCTTATTTGGCGGTGTCACCGAGCCCATTGAGGTTTGAATATTTTGTCCTTTTCCTCTCCATTCTGAGACCCGGCTTTGAGCGGAAACATTACCTTCGGCAATCACTGCTCTTTCCAATACATCAACATATGTAGGTAGTTTCAGCACATTAATCTGGTTGAGAATAGCAATTCGTAGTCCTCCTTCAAACTTCCTTGCCTTCTTATAATCCGTATCCACCATATGTGGTGCAAAACGGGCCAATTCAGCAAATTGAGTCTCGTACTCTGCAATAGCTCGGTTTCCCTGTCTCAAGGTCTCGAACTCAGTCACCTTCTTATCTCTCATACTTTGAGGAAAATACTTATCATAAAACAGCTCCAAAAATTTATCCCACATTAATCCTTGGTGTACAGTTCTCGTGAGCATCCACCATCTCCATGCTTCGTCTTCGAGGGTGAAGGCAGCAAGTTGCACTCTTTGGGCTTCAGTACAAGGAAAAACCTCGAATAACTTTTCTATACCCAACACCAACACTTCTGCTTTCATTGGTTCAATTCCTCCCTTGAATGAAGGTGGATTCTTCTTTTTGAATTCCTTCGTGAGTGTAATTGTCCGATCCTCAGCTCGATAATCTTATATCCCTGGTGATGGCACAAGTATGGGTAGTAGTGGTGGTTATTGTTGTTGCTACTGCCGTTGCCTCAAAGGTTCTGCCATCTCCATAATCATTCTTTCCATTCTATCCAACCGTACGGCTGTAGCATCTTCCGGATCATCCGTTCTGGTTCTCACCATGATCTACATAATGATCAATTACAATACATACAAAATGAACAAGTAGGCATGGATCACGATTGTTACTAATGTATATTTCCATAATTATTATATGTACACCAAAAGATACATGCAAGTGTAACTTAAGTCTTTACTAGATGCCCTAAAGCTCAATGAACTTGTGCGTGCGGTAGCAACTCGTGCTCTAATACCAACTGTCACGACCCAAACATGCTCCTAAAAGTTTGGACGTGACCGGCCTAACTCGAGGCCTAAACTTAGTTATTTTAGATGTTCCTCAATCTTGGGGCCTGGACGGAAGAAAAATAATAGAAGAATAAACATTCATTGAGCTGTGTCTAGATGCCAGGATCATGTTGCATTACTATATATATACATAACGTTTCAGGTGACATTCACATTACAGAATGTAAAAGAGGATCAACTCATAAGTTAAGTTTTGACAACACCTATATACATATTATGGATCCCAAAAATGATAATAAAATATGCCATCATAGGGACTTTCCAAAATATAACAAAAAGTTACTTTGGGTGACTTAGTAAAACGGGTTCAGCTACAGACTTCTGGAGTGACCTAAGGTTGACCTGCAAGCTGGTTACCTACAAAACATTCAGAAAAGTAGAGTGAGCAAGGCTCAGTGAATGATAGTAGTGTAAATAAATTAAAAGTACAAGCATGGGTTAACAGCGCGTATTCTGAATTCATCGTCTCACTCAGTTTCCTTTTCCCGAACGGCCTCGGGCCCACATAAGACAGAACGGCCTTAGGCCCATCATATTAAGAAAACAGCCTTGGGTCCATCGCATTAGCAAACAGAACGACCTCAGGTCCATATCTCACATGTCGAAGTTCACACATATATCAGACATATCGCATATAGCATCAGATACTCAGAAAAGTGAATAGATCTTTACTAACATATATAAATGTAAAACACGTGCAAAACATAATAATATGCTACTATCACTCACTGTGATATGGGTGAATGCTGGCCCCCTTCCTGCGGATGCCCTACACATAGCATATAAATTGTAAGCACATCATCTTTTCTTAGTTTCCTTTCATTTTTCATTATTTGATTCGCTGTGTTTTACGTAATTAAATGCATTATAGGAACATCAAATGGATATAATAACATATTCAGAGGTCGAGAAGGACGTAATAAAATTACAGAATTTCCCAACTTGGGCCGCACGTGCCTTTTTAGCAGAATGCTCCCAACTTCTTCCCCTATTTTTTGCACGTGCAGCTGTGAGCCCCACACATGCGGCTGTGTCTCCTGCACGTGCGGCCATGGGCCCCACACGTGCTGTCGATTACTCTGTTTTGGCAGTCCGAATCTTGAACAAAATTTCAATTGTTCAAACCCATTAAAAGGTATAAGATAAGGTAAATTTACTCAATATCATGGCAGATTATCACAATGAACATAAATCATAAGCATAATCAAATCATACCCCTCTTAAATTCATATATACATCTTAAATTCTTTATATCCCACCCACACTTAGTTTATCACAATATAGGTCTATAACATCAAGATGTTAGAATGAGCTCAAAATGTGTAGAACCAAAGAAACATAGCTCAAAACAACCCTAAATCCAAGGATCACCCATCAAAGCAACCAAATTCCCTAAGTAAGGGTCTTGATATAACCCTAATTTACAAGAATGTTAAGATTTCCTTCCCAAATCAAATAGAGAGAGAGAGATTAGGATGCTCTAGCTAGATTTCACATACCTTAGACACTAGCCTCAAACCCTATTTTAATGCTTCAAATCTTCCCCCCTTGGTGAGCTTCTCTTTTTTCCCCTTCTTTCTCTCTTTCTTGGGTGTTCTGTAGAATTCTCCAGTCAAAATATATAAGAGATGAGTTCATAAAGAGACTTATATAATACAAGAATAAGTCTTTAACTTCTAGACTTGCCAAACGAGCCTTAACGAATTAGACAAAATAAATTTTTAATTAAACTACCCAAGCAGCTTTAAAAATTCCCATTAGCACGTTCACATGCTCAATTTCAGTTTATTGCACCTCTACGACTTAAAATTTCCAAGTTAATATTTTAATTTTAACAGATGTATTCCAATAACCAACAGATAGATAAACATAATCCAACAATTCCCACATGTAACTGTAACTTTGCATAAAATTTCACATTAAACGTGCAATTTCTCATAGAACTAGGGATGTAAAGCATATAAGATGGTTGGGTTATTACAATAAAATTACAAATCTGGTTCAAGGTCAGCCAATGTTAGTGTCACTTCCATTCGTATCCAGAAGTAGAGTCAGACAAGCACAGTTGATTCAGAGTCTGCATCAGTCACCTTTCAGATCTTCTTCATAGATTTTACATCTGTCAGGTCTCAGATTTCCTTTGTTTAGTACCCCAGTAAACAAATCTCCAGTCTTTGCAATGGCTCAGAATCTGCTAGACCTCGTAGAAATGATCGCTAATCTCTTGCGGTTCATGGATACAATTAACCACACAGTAGCCACCCAGGGCGATGCAATTGTTTGGATGTAATAAACAACTGGGGTAACTCCTGCCCCTCCGTTGCCAGTCAATCATTCAGATCGAGACCCACCTTCACCAATTGAGAATTTTATGGGTTTTGGCCAACCAGAAAAACTAGCCTAGGCTCCCACTGTTAAAGCTCCGATACATCCAGTTAAGGGGCTCTTCCTCCTTGATATCACAGAGTTTGATTCAGCTATGCTAAAAATAGCCAAGTTAGAGAAGTTATTCAAAAATTCCAGGGGATCAATTCTATTCTTGATATTGAGGACAAGTATACAAAAGCAGCTATCAAAGTACTGGAAAGATTTAAGCTGCCACATGTTGATCGATTAGATGGATCATAGGACCCTATGGTGCATATTCACTTCTTCTTAGATATTTTGTTACACATGGGGCTGACCCATCCTCAGAAATTGTCCTTGTTTGGGAGGAATGTGTTAGGAATAGCTGCAACTTGGTATGCAAAAATGGACGATAAAGTCAAGCAAAGTTGGGAGGAATTGGTGTAGAACCTCGTTGTTGACCGCCCTTAAGACTTGGGCACTTCATTCTGAACATTCGATGATGAAATGTTATACTGTGCAAATTTTTGAATCTTCAACAAAAGACTTCAGTTTTGAGCTTCAAACCCAAACCTTGCACCCCATTTGGACAGAAACCATTTTTCTTACCTGACCACTCAAAAAAAAGCAAGACCAAAAAAATGACCGGCTGGCCATGTTTATCGAAACATATATTTTACTACAGCAGGCTGCTCTCATGCACGGGATTTGGCCAGCTACTCTCTTATGAAGATATTTACATTGAAATGAGGTTGAAAGTCTATAAAAAGACCACATTCCCTTTGAATTTTAGGTTAGACTAATTTCCCAATGGCATAGAGGATTACCAAAAGCCCTTCTCTACCCTCTTGACTATAGATCACAATACATACACCATTCAAGCTTGATTTTGAACGTTTTTGCTGAGGTTTTGATACATATTTCAGTTACTTGAGAGTATTTGGATTGAAGTTTATGAACCAAGAAGCTCTTCCTCTTCTCTAGAGGTTGATTTTTTAACTATTTTCATTACTTAATTTCTTGTTCTTCATTTTAATACTGATTTTTAGAGTAATTTAGGCTTTAAAATGTGATTTAAACATTGTTGAAGGTGGAAGGGTTAGGCACCCTTCCATAGGCCCTTAGTCTTGCTATCTTATTGTTTTTCATGTTCTTGCTTCTTTTCTTTCAATTTTAGCACTGTTTTAGGTAGCTTTTGATTGAATATGAACTGTATATATGTGTTTAAAGCTTAAATAGATAGTTTAATTTTTGTCCTCTATTTCTCTTCTTTGAAGATGTTGTAAAGCACTCTTCTAGTTCCATCTTTGTAGCATGGAAATGGGTGTTCCATCTATGTTCCATGAGTAGGAAGATGAGCTTACAACCATCTCTTCATAGCTTTCATTTCTTGCTCTTACTTAGTCTTGTTCTAAAATGGCTCCTTTTAAACCTATTCTCTCTAAAACTTGAGTATTCACTTGCTTTTCTTTTCCATGGGATTCAGTAGGTTTTTAGCCATCCCTTTGATTGTTTGTTTCGTAATTAGCCTTAGTTTTGTATCCATTAATTTTCATCATGTTGCTTCGCTAATCATCATTGAAATGCCCTTGGGATGTTTGATTGTTTGTGAAGTAAACCTACTCTCTACTTAAAATCGTCATGATAGGAGAGAGCAAGAAGGATGAGCATCCTTCGGAAACCTTCTATTTTGCTCTGTTCCAACTCTGTTACAGCATGACTTTTCCTAAAGCAGTGGTCGGCTGGCCAATCCTTTGTATGACCGACCAATTCTCTAGACCGGCTGACCACCTGGTTTGTATGGCTGTGGTGTCTTTCTAGTGAAACAAAGCAGATTCTGAGGCCTAAGACCGAGTTATTTTTAGACTATAAATATGGCAACTTCTAGCAGTGAGCAGAGGGGGTTTCTAGCAGATGTTCTTACGCATGCACACGTGATTCCCTACATTTCGTTTAATTCCTTTAGATTAGCCGCTTTGATTCATATTTGTAATTAATTCGTTGCTTTCATTTGGATTTGTAATAATTAGTTAGCTAGTTCATTTGGGTTTGTAATAGTTAGTTAATAAGGGCATTCGGACCGTCTCGTACGAGGGAAAATTTGTAACATTTGATGTATGTCTTCCAACCCCCATTTCTTTCTTTGTTTTACTTACATA